CAGGCAGCTTAAAGCGCTGAAGCAGTCGTCAAATTCTGGATATAAGGGTGGCAACAACAACAGTGGCAGCGGAGCTAGTGGCAGCGGAGCTAGTGGCAGCGGAGCTAGCGGCAGCAAGCCAGGATCCGGTGGATCAGCTAGGGGACCAGGAGTTCCGCGGCAGGTAGCGTTCGTGGCATACAACAGCGAGCGTCCGACGGAATGGTTTCTGGACTCAGCAGCCACTCACCACATAACGTATGACCGCTCAGAACTTTCCAATGTGCGGTTATTGGAGACATGGGAGCGCTTCAACATCATGGGCATCAAGGGACAGTCTCTTCGGCCGACTGAAGTTGGCACGCTAATGATTCGGTCTAACGTCAACGATAAACAGGCCATCACTTTCAAGAAGGTCTACGTCGACGAGGAGGCCACCGCCAAAATCATATCGGTCCGCATCATTGATGATCGTGGAGGCAGTGTGGTCTTCGGCGGCGGACAGGTGAAAGTGTACGTACAGAATCAGTTGGTGCTGACTGGAAAGCGGGATGGGGACTTGTATCCCGTCTACTACAGCAGTGGAGGTACTGGTGCTCTGAAGTGGACGCAGCGTGAAGACAACAGGATACCTTCTGGTGGTGATGCAGTGTGTGCTGCCGTGGGTATCGGAGCTGAACGTGCAGCACTTTGGCACCGAAGGTATGGCCACTTAGGATACAGCAACCTTGAGGCGCTGCTGCGTCATGATATGGTAGCTGGATTCGATGTTGACCGACACAGCATACAATCAGCCAGCGCGTGTGTGTGTGAGACTTGCGTCTTTGCTAAGCATACACGTGGTCCTTTTCCGCTAACTGGGCATAAGGCAGCGCAGCCTCTCGCACTCATTCACATGGATGTGTGTGGACCTATGCCTGAACCTTCGCCTAGTGGTTCGCGTTACGTGACAACTCTGCTTGACGATCATACTGGTCTTTCCGCTGTTGCGTTTACAGCGACCAAGGAGGAGGTCTATCAGAAGATGGTGGTAAAGATAGCGGAACTGGAGCGCGCTTCTGGCAGGCAGGTTAAGGAGGTGCGTACGGATCGTGGTGGGGAGTTCGTTAATACTCGCACGAAGGGCTATTTCGCGTCCAGGGGTATTGTACACGGAACTACGGTAGGCTACACCCCTGAGCAGAACGGAGCTGCAGAATATTTAAATCGCACTCTTTTGGACAAGACTAGGGCTATGCTCGTTGAGTCTGGACTGCCTAAATCATTATGGGTGGAGGCGTTAGCGACAGCCAACTATCTTAGGAATGTGTCGCCAACTGCTGGGTCAACCGTCACTCCGTACGAAGCTTTCTTTAACGTTCGTCCGAACGTCCGTCACCTGCGAGTCTTTGGATGCGTCGCCTACGTCCATGTACCTGACGTCAAGCGCGACAAGTTCGACCCGGTGAGCAGGCGTGGAATACTTGTTGGATACGGGAACGGAGGACAGTATCGTGTGCTATACGAGGACGGCATTATTGCCGTAGTTTCTAACGTTCGTTTTGATGAGTCTAATGTCGGCCGGCGGCGTAATGCCGGGGACTCCGATTATGAGTCCGATGCCGACGAGGAGGAGGAGTTTCGCACTAGTTTATCTGGTGAGGGATCGCTGCCTAGGGCTGGCGAAGGGACACCAGGTAGCACCGTCGGCGAGGGATCGCCGCATTTGGGTGGTGAGGGGGCGCCGGCTGGGGCTGGACCTTCCAGCAGTGCGAACGGGCAAGGAATCAATCAGCCTGATGTGGAAATGGTGGGAACTAGGTACCCAGTTAGAGAGCGTAAACGCCCTGGCGAATGGTGGCGAAACGAACCTGGTCGCACTGTTACTGGTCGCGTTAACGCTGCTTTCTCTGCTGATATTCCTGAGCCTAATTCGTTTGCGGAAGCCATTGCAAGTCCACATGCAGACGACTGGCGGTGTGCAATGGACGAGGAGATCGCCGCCCAGATGGCTAATAGTACTTGGGAGCTGAAGAAGCCACCTCCTGGTACTCGTTTGTTGCCATGTCGTTGGGTATATAAGGTTAAGTACAGCAATGACGGCAGCGTTGAGCGTTTTAAGGCGCGTCTAGTTGCAAAGGGTTTTGAACAACGCGAGGGGATTGATTATGGGGAGTTGATGTTGTTACAGGGTGGTTAAGCTTCACCAGGGGAGTTGTTTGCCCCTACCTCTCGTGGTTTGTCATTGCGTGCTTTATTAGCAGTTGCCGCAGCCCGGAACATGACGGTACATCAGCTCGATGTGTCTACTGCGTTTTTGAACGGTGAGCTGAAGGAGGAATTGTGGATGGAGCAACCGCCTGGGTATGCATCCAGTGACCGGTCGCTTGCGTGCAAGCTGCAGAAGTCTATTTACGGTTTGAAGCAGGCACCCCGTTGCTGGTATGAAAAGCTATCAGCAGAGTTCGCTAAGCTGGGTCTTTATCCTTCGAAGTCTGATCCGGCGATGTTCGTTAAGACTGACGAGCGTGGGGTTGTTATTGCTTTAGTGCACGTAGATGATACAATTGAAGCGTCGGAAGACCCGGAAATGGTCCGGGCAATTAAAGCTGCAATTGTAAAGGTCTTCAAGGTGCGCGACCTTGGAGAAGCGAAGGTGTTTTTGGGCATGGAGATTAGGAGGGAGAAGTCGGGTGAGATAGTGTTGTCGCAGCATAGGTATATTGCGCAGCTATTGGAGCGTCATAAGTTGGTTGACGCCAAGCCGAGGTCTACCCCTTTGCCTCCGGGCTTTAGGTACACTCCTAAGGGGGAAGGAGAGGAGCTGCTGGGCAATCCCACCGAGTATAGGGCTTTGGTGGGGGAGTTGAATTACCTAGCGACGAACACGCGGCCTGACATTTCGTATGCATTGAGTGTTTTGTCCCGGCATATGGCCGCACCCACGAAGAGTGCTATGAATTTAGCAATTGGTGTTCTGCGTTACCTGGCAGGAACTCGCGAACTAGGATTGCGTTTTGGGGGTGTTGGCGACGTTGCTATGTCCGGGTATAGCGATTCTGACTGGGCAGGAGACCCAGTTACGCGGCGTTCTACTTCCGGCTACGTTTTCACTCTTAATGGGGCTGCGATTAGCTGGAGCAGCCAGCTTCAACGTACTGTGGCGGCTTCATCGGTGGAGGCCGAGTATCGGCCGAGTAGCGGCAGCTGTTCGCGAGGCTTTGTGGCTTCGCAAGCTGATGGTTGATTTGGGTTTACCTGAGAGCGCTATCAAGATTCAAATAGATTCCCAGGGGGCGCTTAGCTTAGGAAATAACCCGATTACGTCTGCTTGGTCGAAGCACATCGATGTACAGCATCACATAGTGTGTGAGAGGGTGAATAGCGGTGACGTGCAGTTGGAATACTGCCCTACGGAGTGGATGGTTGCGGATGTGCTCACAAAGGCTCTAGGCGAGGTGAAATTCAAACGTTGCCGAGATGCGATGGGCCTTGTGTGAAGCGTGCTGATGAACTTGGAAATCGTTGGCATATGGACCGAGGGGGCGTGTTGAGGAAACGGTCCTCTCTCAACTTGTGTGTTTGTCGACCAGGGGATTTGACCCCGGGTCTGCGCCTAACTAATGGGGAAGACTTACCCCAGAACCTTATGGGCTACCGATGCATATCCGGTAGCTAAGTGATAGACATTTGGGCACCGTCAGGACGGCGCAGTGAGATCGCGGAATGTACGTGCAGTTAGATCGCGGAATGTACGAGTTTTCCGCTAGCGCCGGTATTTAGGGCGGTGACTGCGCTTAATTGTTTATCTCACAACGATCGATCACAGTTTATCGTGCTAAATATCTTCGCCGCCGGCAATTCTTCCGAGATAACAATCAGGCAGGCGGCTGGCAGAAGTTAAGGCCTGGCTTCTGCTCCCGTCGCGTCCCGGCGCGTCCGGGTTCAAATCCGCCTGCCGACCTCTCGGGGTGTTTGAGAGGTGATGAAATGGGAGGTGGCCCCCCATCTTGTGGACGGTGTAGGACGTGATAAAATCTACTCGCGAGCTGACCAGGAACTAAGTTGACGCGCCGTTGATCCGCTAGATTTGGTTGGATGCTGGTGGTGAGTTGCCAAACTCAAAGAGTACACTCTGAAGTCGGATGGGGTGAATGGCTTAGGGTGCCCCTCTAGCAGGGGAGAGCAGGGAATTGCCTCGGGAAGGAGGCCACTGGTGAAGCTTAACCACCCTGTAACAACATCAACAATCAGCGTTAGCCGTCACCGTCGCCAATTCTCCAATACTGATCCATACAAAGATGAGATACTAAGACTTGCACAACTCGTGTCTTATATACCAGTACCAATGGAAGTATCGTACAGATGTCCACCACCCCTGGACCTGAGGACACGTCCGAGATTCACGGCCGAGAGACCCGAGGCAAGGTCGAGGCACGGCCTAGGCAAGGTCGAGGCACGGCCGAGGCATCGCCCATCACAGCGGATTCATCGCCTAACTACCACCTATCTACGTTGGGATAGGACCGTCCTTCAACACGCCCCCTCGGGACATATCCCGAAATGCTGGGGGCTCGGTATTCAGTTAGGGAATGGAAACGTCCTGGCCAGTGGTGACGGAGTGTATCTGGTCGTAGTGCTACATGGCGAGTCATTGCTGCAGTATCTGCTGGGATTCATAGCCTAACTTTTATGCCAAAGCCATCCCAGGTCCACATGCAGACGACTGGCGGCAGTGAGTGCCGCGAAAATTTTATTCCAGTCGACCCTGCTGGATATTGTGGATTGCAGCCGGCGATCTTTGCTACAACTACAAACAGACGGGCCGTACAGCTCGGAGTTGCAGAGAGAGCCGCAACCTAACGTGCAGGGAAGGAGTGGAGGTGGTCTTGGCACCCACTCGTGGCAGGTGGGGTAGCATGCCTCAACAGACAGGCGGTGGCGGCAGTGCAGTGATGCCGTGTATTCTTTGCTGCACGAAAAGAGCAACTATCTTGTTTAAGGGGAATTGTCTGACTCCGAAGCGGCTAGTATTGGTGTACCTAAGTCAAGGCCTCCGTAAGCTCTGGTAGACTTAGGAACCACAGTCGGCTAGGCACCACTGTCACCTGTGGATGGTGAAGGAATGCCGGATGAAGCCGGAACATCCAGTGGTGCAAGCCAGCCCAGGAGTTCAGAAGAATAGGGCAGGGAATATGAGGAGATATTATAGCCCTTGGAGTGGTGACATGGTGTTGCAGGAAGGAGGATAGGAGGTCGCATTAACGTGGCTGTCACTGATCCGAACCCTGCTGAACTTTTGCTGAGTAATACTTTCATTTCAGGTGCAAATGCAAATGAGTGGTGCAGAGTGATGGTCGAGGAGATTGCTGCATTAGCAGCTAACGGCGTTTGTGCGCCATGTGCACAGCCTCATGATGTGCATGTGCTACTGTACCGGTGGGTGTACAAATTGAAAACACTGGAAAATGACAGTGTCAAGCGCTCTGTGTTTTCGGGCATGGAAATAATGAGGATGAAGCCGGGCGAATTAGTGTTGTCGCAATATTGAGCAGCTATTGGAGCGTCACCGGACTGTGGACGCCAAGCCACGGTCTGTTAAGAATATGAAGGCAAGGAGACTGGTCGCGATATAAGGGTTACAGTCTGTGGGTTAATGGTAAACGGCAAGAAGACTTTAGGAGATTCCTATGAAGGAATACCGATCCATCCAAAGATAAGATAGAAAGACATGCACCACTCTGGTCTTATATACCGATACCAACGGAAGTATCGTACAGTCGTCCACCATCCCTGGACCTGAGGACACGTCCGAGATACGCGGCCGAGAGACCCGAGGCAAGGTCGAGGCACGTCCGAGGCATCGCCTATCACGGCGGATTCATCGCCTAACTACCACCTATCTACGTTGGGATAGGACCGCCCTTCAACAGTCACCTTCCACTCTTTTCAAATTGTACAACCACCGGTACATTAGCACATCAAGAGGCTGTGCACACAGCTCACAAGTGCCGTTAGCTGCTAATGCAACAATCTCCTCGACCATCACTCTGCGCCACTCATTTGCATATGCCCCTGAAATGGCTTCAGTGAAAGTTTTACTCAGCAAAAGTTTAGCAGGGTACGTACGGATCAGTGACAGCCACGTTAATGCGACCTACTATCCTCCTTCCTGCAACACCATGTCACCACTCCGAGGGCTATAATATCTCCTCATATTCCCTGCCCTATTCTTCTGAGCTCCTGCGCTGGCTTGCACCACTAGAGATGTACCGGCTTCATCCGGCATTCCTTCACCATCCACAGGTGACAGTGGTGCCTAGCCGACTGTGTTTCCTAAGTCTAACAGAGCTTGGCAGAGGCCCTGACTCAGGTACACCAATACTAGCCGCTTCGGAGTCAGATAATTCCCCTTAACCTTGATAGGGGTCCTTATCTTGCAGCAAAAATACACGGCATCACTGCACTGCCGCCACCGCTTGTCTGTTGAGGTAGCATACCCCACCTGCCACGTGTGGTCGTCCACTCCTTCCCTGCACGTTAGGCTGCGGCTCTCTCTGTAACTCCGAGCTATACGGCCCGTCTGCTGGTAGTTGCAGCAAATGATCGCCTGCTGCAATCCACGCTGTCCAGATGGGTCGACTGGATACAGACCTTTTTTCGGCACTCACGGCCGCCAGTCGTCTGCATGTGGGCCTGAGATGGCTTCGGCATAAATGTTAGGCTCTGAATCCCAGCAGATACTGCAGCAATGACTCGGCCTGTAGCACTACGACCAGGTACACTTTGGATGTTTGCATTCCCTAACTAAATACCGAGCCCCCAGCACTTCCACATCAGGGAGGGACGGCTGCGGCTCGCTCTGCAACTCCGAGCTATACGGCCTGTTCGTAGTTGCAGCAAATGAGCGCATCCGCTACTATCCACTCTGTAGGGCAGTACTCCAACTGCACCTCCCCACTATTCACCCTCTCACGCACTATGTGGTGCTGCACGTCGCTGTGTTTCGATGAGCAGACGTAATCGGATTATTTCCCAAGCTAAGCGCCCCCTGGGAGCCTATCTGGATTTTCACCGCGCTCTCAGGCAAGCCCAAATCGACCATCAGCTTGCGAAGCCACAAAGGTTAACGAACAGCCGCCGCTGTAGCTTGGTACTCGGCCTCCAAGCCGCCACAGTACGTTAAAGTTGGCTGCTCCAGCTAATCGCAGCCCCATTAAGAGTGAATACGTAACCGGACGTAGAACACCGCGTAACTGGGTCTCCTGCCCAGTCCGAATCACTGTACCCGGACATTGCAACACCGCCAACACCCCCAAAACGCAATCCTAGTTCGCGAGTACCCGCCAGGTAACGCAGAACGCCGGTTGCCAAGTTCATGGCAGTCTTCGTAGGTGTGGCCATATGCCTGGACAAAACATTCAATGCATAAGAAATGTCCGGCCGTGTGTTCGTCGCTAGGTAGTTCAACTTTTCACCAAAACCCTATACTCCGTGGGAATACCCAGCAGCTCATGTCTATCCCCCGTAGGTGTGCATATAAAACCCGGAGGCAAAGGGGTAGGCCATAGCTTGGCGTCCACCATCTGGTGACGCTCCAATAGCTGCTCAATATACCTACATTGCGACAACACCAATTTGCCCGGCTTCATCCTCATAATTTCCATGCCCGAAAACACCTGCGCTTCTCCAAGGTCTCGTACATCTCGTACACCTTTGCAACTAGCCATGCAAAGGAGCGCTTGACACTGTCATTTTCCAGTGTTTTCAATTTGTACAACCACCGGCACGGTAGCACATGCACAGCATGAGGCTGTACACACCGCACACAAGTGCATTTAGCTGCTAATGCAGCAATCTCCTCGACCATCACTCTGCGCCACTCATTTGCATTTGCTCCTGAAATGGCTTCAGTGAAAGTATTACTCAGCAAAAGTTCAGCAGGGTATGGATCAGTGACAGCCACGTTAATTCGACCTATCCTCCTTCCTGCATCACCACTCCGAAGGCCATAATGTATCCTCATGTTCATTGCCCTTATCTTCTGTACTCCTGCGCTGGCATGCACCACTGGATGTTCCGGCTTCATCCGGCATTCCTTCACCATCCACAGGTGACAGTGGTGCCTAGCCGACTGTGTTTCCTAAGTCTAACGGAGCTTGGCAGAGGCCCTGACTCAGGTACACCAATACTAGCCGCTTCGGAGTCAGACAATTGATAGTGGTTCTTATCTTGCAGCAAAAAAAAAATTACACGGCATCACTGCACTGCCGCCACCGCCTGTCTGTTGAGGCATGCTACCCCACCTGCCACGTGCGGGCACCAAGACCACCTCCACTCCTTCCCAGCACGTTAGGCTGCGGCTCGCTCTGCAACTCCGAGCTATACGGCCTGTTTGTAGTTGCAGCAAATGATCGCCTGCTGCAATCCACGCCGTCCAGTTGGGTCGACTGGACACATCCTCCCACCAAAGCCCTATCCACATCAGGGACGTGTCCGAGATACACGGCAGAGAGACCCGAGGCAAGGTCGAGGCACGGCCGAGGCAAGGTCGAGGTACGGCCGAGGCAAGGTCGGGGCACGGCCGAGGCATCACCTATCATAGCGGATTCATCGCCTAACTACCACCCATCTACGTTGGGGATAGGACCGCCCTTCAACACGCCCCCTCGGGACATATCCCAACTCGCAGTAGCACATTTGCTCCACCAATGGGCACTTCACACAACGCCCATAGCTTCTCTGCACCGTTTGAACTTCACTTCTCCCAGTGCCTTCGTGAGCGCATCCGCTACTATCCACTCTGTAGGGCAGTACTCCAACTGCACCTCACCGATATTCACCCTCTCACGCACTATGTGATGCTGTACGTCGATGTGTTTCGACCGAGCAGACGTAATCGGATTATTTCCCAAGCTAAGCGCCCCCTGGGAGTCTATCTGGATTTTCACCGCGCTCTCAGGCAACCAAAATCGACCATCAGCTTGCGAAGCCACAAAGCTTCACGAACAGCCGCCGGTGTAGCTTGGTACTTGGCCTCCACCGACGAAGCCGCCACAGTACGTTGAAGTTGGCTGCTCCAGCTAATCGCAGCCCCATTAAGAGTGAATATGTAACCGGACGTAGAACGCCGTGTAACTGGGTCTCCTGCCCAGTCCGAATCACTGTACCCGGACATTGCAACACCGCCAACACCCCCAAAACGCAATCCTAGTTCGCGAGTACCCACCAGGTAACGCAGAACACCAGTGGCCAAGTTCATGGCAGTCTTCGTAGGTGTGGCCATATGCTGGGACAAAATGCTCAATGCATACGAAATGTCAGGCCGCGTGTTCGTCGCCAGATAGTTCAATCCTCCCATAAAAGCCCTACACTCCGTGGGATTGCCCAGCAGCTCCTCTCCGTCCCCCTTAGGAGTGTACCTAAATCCCGGAGGCAAAGGGGTAGATCTCGGCTTGGCGTCAACCTTCCTATGACGCTCCAACAGCTGCTCAATGTACCTATGCTGTGACAACACTAACTCACCCGACTTCTCCCTCCTAATCTCCATGCCCCAAAACACCTTCGCTTCTTCAAGGTCACGCACCTTGAAGACCTTCACAATTGCGGCTTTAATTGCCCGGACCATTTCTGGGTCTTCTGACGCAACAATCGTGTCATCTACGTGCACCAAAGCAATAACAACCCCACGCTCGTCCGTCTTAACGAACATCGCCGGATCAGACTTCAAAGGATAAAGACCCAGCTTGGCGAACTCTGCTGATAGTTTTTCATACCAGCAATGGGGTGCCTGCTTCAAACCGTAAATAGACCTCTGCAGCTTGCACGCAACCGACCGGTCACTGGATGCATACCCAGGTGGTTGCTGCATCCACAACTCCTCCTTCAACTCGCCGTTCAAAAATGTAGTAGACACATCGAGCTGGTGCACCGTCATGTTCCGCGCGGCGGCAACGGCTAATAAAGCATGTAAGGACGAACCATGTGAGGTAAGGGCAAACAACTCCCCGAAATCAATCCCCTCGCGTTGCTCGAAACCCTTGGCAACTAAACGCGCCTTAAAACGCTCCACGCTGCCGTCATCGCTGTACTTAACCTTATATACCCAACGACACGGTAACAAACGAGTACCAGGAGGTGGCTTCTTCAACTCCCAAGTACTATTAGCCATCGGGGCGGCGATCTCCTCGTCCATCGCACGCCGCCAGTCGTCTGCATGTGGACTTGCAATTGCTTCCTCAAACGAATTAGGCTCAGGAATACCAGCAGAGAAAGCAGCGTTAACGCGACCAGTGACAGTGCGACCAGGTTCGTTTCGCCACCATTCGCCAGGGCGTTTACGCTCTCTAACTGGGTACCTAGTTCCCGCCATTTCCACATCAGGCTGATTGATTCCTTGCCCGTTCGCACTGCTGGAAGGTCCAGCCCCAGCCGGCGCCCCCTCGCCACCCAAATGCGGCGATCCCTCGCCGACGGTGCTACCTGGTGTCCCTTCGCCAGCCCTAGGCAGCGATCCCTCACCAGATAAACTAGTGCGAAACTCCTCCTCCTCGTCGGCATCGGACTCATAATCGGAGTCCCCGGCATTACACCGCCGGCCGACATTAGACTCGTCAAAACGAACGTTAGAAACTACGGCAATAATGCCATCCTCGTATAGTACACGATACTGTCCACCGTTCCCGTATCCGACAAGTATTCCACGCCTGCTCACCGGGTCGAACTTGTCGCGCTTGACGTCGGGTACGTGGACGTAGGCAACGCATCCAAAGACTCGCAGGTGACTGACGTTCGGACGAACATTAAAGAAAGCTTCGTACGGAGTGACGGTTGACCCAGCAGTTGGCGACACATTCCTAAGATA